ATGCGTTTAATCATGCGATGGAAAAATGTTCACCAAAAGTAACCCATAAAAAGTCAGTGGTAGCATTTTTTGAGACAGTCCACAACTAAGGATGTAATTCCCCGACAATTAAATGGAATTTTAATGGAATTTTATATGAAATTGTAGTGTAATTATATTTACCTACAAATCCTTACTGGTAGATGCACTGAAGGAGTAACGTTTCAACTTTTAATTTAATGTTGTAAGCACTGCTGCCTTAACCTTGTCTTGTTATACATTTATTATGTATTATATGTGTGTGTCGTGGGTGCTACACTAGTCAATAGTCCTCTTTCATTGCATATAAAGACTGGTCTCGCTTTCCTACAAGAATATTGAAATCATTATAGTCTGTGAAGGTTCTCAGTCATCCAGATCATCGTAGTCTAAGGAGCTTGAAAAGAAAAGCGTCTGGACTTCTTTAAGTTTCTTGAAGACGTTTCACCTCTCATCCGAGAAGCTTCTTCAAAGTCTTCGAGCTGTAAATTGTTGGTGCATTATAGATGATTTTTTTCCTTTCACAAACACTGTTCAATCATCAGCGAACACTTCTGAAGTGACCGTGAGAAAACCACCAAAAATAACACGAATGAAGAAACACCGATAGAATAATTGTTTTTTTTATTTATATAAAAGCCCAAAACTGAACACAAAAAAGGTGTGAAAGCGGGTGCAGGTCACAATCAGCCAGGGTTTCAGGTGAGCTCATTGTGAAACCTGGCCCCACCCTATCATGTGATTTCCTGAGGTCAAATGGCCCAGGATGTGAGTGGGCGTCAAGGCGTCTGGGAAGGGATTTTAAAACTGGATTATAGACAGTTGGTGTTGTAAGCCACCGCCTCTGTTCAAAGATGGTCGCTCACAGTGGACATAAATGGCTTCTTTCACTCCTCTTTCAAACCATCTGTCCTCTCTGTCCAAAATGTGAACATTGGCATTGGCGTCCTAGTGACCTTTGTCCTTTAGATGCAGATGAACAGCCGAGTCTTGTCCCGTGGAGGTGGCTCTTCTACATTGTGCCATGCGTTTATGACCCATTTGACTCTAGAACTGAAGAAGCTTCTCAGATGAGAGGCGAAACGGCTTCAAGCAACTTAAAGAAGTCCAGAGGCTTTTCTTTCCAAGCTTCTTAAACTGCAATGACCTGGATGACTGAGAACCTTCACAGACATTTGTAGGTAAATTTAATTACAAATAAAATAGAGTGAAATTCCATTAATTACAGGATAATTACACACTTTTTTATATATTATAATGTATTATAAAGTGCTATCAATGAAAATAACTTGAAATAGGGCTCTCTGACTAAGAGGTTGAAGATTATGCCGTCCATCTCCCAACATGGACATTTTGATCTTCTTCACAGTGAAATTTGACACTACTGGAGCATCACTGTGAGGTCAAATTACTCCAGGGGATACCACTTGCATGACTGGGAGCTGACTGATAAGCGTCAGTTGTTCTGTTTCACGGTTCAGATATTTGAACACCGGATGACCTTCAACTATTGTCATTCAGTGCTCGCACCTGTGTTCCAGGTAAAAACATGTATGTTTGCACTCTCACTGTAAAGTTGCTCAAATTGGGATTTAGGTTAAAGCTCTGCTGTGCAGAAACATAAAGTAAATCTTTACAGCTGCGAGTGGGTGTCTGAATCCTTAAATTATGAGTCTAAAAAGACGCAAATCTTCCCGTAATATAACACTCCCCATATGTATGCTTTCAGGACACAACATGCAGTTTCCTCAGGTTGTTAAACCACCCTCAAAAATGTGGTCGTGACCTCAATTTCTTTCCTGTAATTAGAGTTTTGTTTTTTTAATCTGTTGCTATCATTCTTTATGCTACCTGTGTGTTACTGCTTATTGAAAACAGCTTAGACTGTTTGGTTTTCACTGGAAATTAAGTTAGCTGGAATGGGGTCTGCCGGAGCTGATTGTTGTCACAGCTGTGCAATAAACTCTTCATTGGATTCTTGTCGCCATAATAATATCATCATGCAACATTCACCAGTCCCATAGGTCAAACTCACATGTGTATTAAGGATATCAATTATACCACGCTTGGATCACTGAAGATTGTCTTTTCATACAAGATGTTGCATTTGGTGCTATTCTCTTGTTTATATGAGTGCAGTTTTATTGCGTTCGGCACTTGTTGGACACCCACTCATGTTCTCCCAGACTTCTGTGCCCCTTCATATGAATGTATATGTGATACATCAAAATGCAGAAGAAACTATGCGTGTCTCTGGGTATATTTGTCCAGTACTGTAAGTGATGGGAAACAGGCTGTTTCTGGGGCGATTGCAGCTCCCTGTGGGAAAGTGTTTATAATTAAGTGTGATTTTCTGCATCCACACCAGACCACAGGAAAAAGAATAAGGCAGGCTATTTCCTGTAGTTGCTGCTCAGCTTTTCATTTGTTCCCATCTTTTTTCACTGGTTTAAGAGAGAAATATGCAGATTTTGAGTTGGGAGGACTTGCAATTAACTGATTTAAAATGCTTATTAATTCCACAGGAAATTTTCTTCATGTTAAATTGCTCATTTGAATTTATTCAACAGTTGAGTGAAGTACAGGGTGAATTAGAATGAGCTCCTCAAACGACTGGAAAGACTGAAATAAAGGGCCATTTGCAGACAGAGCTGAGTTCTGGGTCCATGTCCGCGCGGCCTCTCGGTAGAGCTACATTCACTGGCTCAGTGACCAGAACTGACACGCAGTCGCTCACACAGAACAGTTTCAGTTTCAGTGTCAGTTTCAGAGGAGGATGCCGAGATCGCGTAGGATATGAAAGACGCGAACACACCGAAAACATCGGTTTGAATTCGTTAGTGGTGTCTGTGACGCCAACTGAAGCGGCGCGAGAGAGGAAAGAAAAATCAGCACGATCTCTGATTCTCCCATGGTTCAGAGAGTTTGTACCTGTACCTGTCAGACAACTTAACAATTCAGCAGGGAATCTAGTAAACAAATCCAGAACCCAGAACCCAAATCCCCTGATACAAACACATTCCTAAAATCATTCATTCATTTATTTTTGGGCATGGAATATTCTTCATAAATTAATCAGTGAAATATTCAAACAAGGGATGGAATATCAGCTGCATTTGCATGTCATTTTCACATGCTAATGAATTTTTTGGTGGCAGTACATGGAAATAATATTAAAAGAGTGTGGTAAGAGTTTGATATTAGAAAGGTAATATATAAAATATTATGTACTTACCAAAGTAATAAGCTTGGGAATATCAAAGTAGATAGCTGGTAATATTAAACTTAGATTTATGTTGTCAAATTCACTCCAATAGCACCAATTTTTATATATTTATTATCCATCAATTTATGCGTCCATCTTCTGTCAATTTAGAATAACAAATTAATCTAAACCAGAGTATCACACGGCATGGCTCAGCCAAAGGCTGGATTCAAACCTAGGACCTTCTTCCTGTGAGGCAAAGGTGATCACTATAGTGCTGCTCCAGTACTTTAGTAATTTCCTGGTATTACTCTGTTATTAACTCATTCTCATGGCTTATTTAGCCCCATTATTCCCATCTTATTACCACGGTGTAATCTTAATTGCCACCCATTTGTCTTCTTGTCACACTGCAGTTATGCAGACTTCTCCATGCATGACTAAACTCACGAAAGAAACTATAAAGCTTGAGAAGGAATGAAACTAAGAGGGATGGATCTGACTGGACTGTGCAGGAAAAAGGTGGAACGATTTTAATAATATATTATAATAACGAGGTATGGTACAATATCCTAGCAACCAAACTGTAAGAAAGGGATCCAGCGCTGCGTGATGCTTCATTTTACATTGAGAAACATCTCACCCTGCCTGCTTTAAACCATCTGGGTTTTTCTCTGTGACCATTTTATGAGCAGAGCTGCCACGTGGGGCACAGTATGATGCAAGCATAGATTCAATTATGAGGTTGGGGTGTTTGGCAGGAAGGTGTGCATGTGTGTGTGTGTGTACTGGGCTCTGTCTGAAGCTGATAGATGTGGAGATTTCTAGCTTGGCAAGTGGTTTGGCAAACTGGCAGTAATGTGAGAACGGCCCATTGTGCTTCTGCAGAAAAACCCCTGAACGCTCAGCTGTGTTTACAGCCCAGAGCGTGGCACGGCAGAATCCCCCAACAGCCCCCGCTCCAAAAAACACAGAATCAGAAAAAAAAGTGCCGTTCCCATCCCATTTTTCCCTCAACATGCCCTCCGTGAGGCTGCCTACCAATTAGCCACCGCTGCTGCTGAGGTGAGATAACAACAGAAACCCATGTATCCCCCAAAGACCTCACTAGGACCTTTATTACAGTATTGATATCTTCTGCCTGTCACCGCTGCCCTCACTTGCCTGGCAGTGTGCCAGCAAATTTTCTATGAGCGGGGTGAAAAAAACAATCCATAAAGAGGCTGTAACTCAATGCAAGTAGAAAACAGCAGGAGGCAACATTAGACTGAACGGTACATGCTGTAATTAGTGAGAAACTGGAAGGAATAAATATAAAATAAGGTACAGCTGCTTAGTAAATTAAAAAAAACAAAACAGAACTCAATAATAGGTGAAAGCACAAAAATGAATAAAAAAAAAAAACACAACCAGTGGCAAACAGAGGGGGAAAAAAACAACAAAAACAGCAGTTTCTAATCCTTTTATGTGCCCACCGATGTTTTATCTCTCAATAATTCCTACGTAGATGTAATTTGTCCTTCATGTCACAAAAATGTTAAAAACCTAAAGTACGCAATGTCGTTTGAAAACAACGGAAAAATCTAAATATTGCATTTTCCACCCACAGATAATAAAGTGTTCAAGTTAGCTCACATTTTTGTAGCACCACAAACGAGTTACTTCATGGACGCAGTTACAAAAAAGTCCAGTCGTTCAGAACACACACAAAAGTGGCTGGCAGACCAAAATAATAATAATAATAACAATAACAATAATAATAACAATTAATAGGCATACATTTTATGTTATTTTATGTGCAAAACTGTTAGCAGTGAAAACAAATTTTAACGTTTTCCGATTGTCCGCTTGGTGTCTGGTCAAAACTCAAACCAAACCTTCATTTGCAGCCATGGGTTACACAGACTTTAAATCTTGCTTATAAAATGGGACTGTAACAAAAGTGGTGACATTTAAATGCTTAAAAAGTGAAAAATAAATTTGACCTTCTTAAAAAAACTGTGTCTGAAAACGGTTAAAAAGAAACATCTCAATGTGAACTAGTCGTCAAAGGCACTCTTTTTTAAGGGAGAAAGTGTCTCGTGTGTTGTATTTATATCACGTTTCTTCATTTTGAAGCAGGTGAAAAGTTACAGACCTGATCTGATGGAAACTTTCAGCAGTACCACGGCGGCTGCTTGTCGAGTGTTTCGAGTGAGGCTTTACAGTAAATGGATATGGGGTCACTTCTACTGTAAAAGCCGAGGTCAACCTATCAGGTAGCCATTCTGTGTTTAAGTGCTCATAAAACACTGCAAACATCTATTTCAAATGTCCCAGCTGTCACTGAAGTACTGGTCCTCTTCCTCCTCCTCCTCCTCCTCTTCTTCTTCCTCAATCCCATTTTTCATGAGGTCATCCAACTCATTCACTTCCTCCTCGTCCTCTTCTTCCACCTTGAGCTGTGCAAGCATGGTTTGTAAAGTGGATTTTACTTCCTGAACCTCCTTCTCTAAAGACTGTGCGAAGGGAGTTAAGGAAGAATGCTGCTGCAGACACACACACATTAACATGTAAATAAAACGCATGCCAACAGACAAATATGTCACATGTGCCCTGACGTGTGCCCCCTGACGGTTAATGGCGATAGCAGCGGACAGCCATAACGTGATGAAGTCATCAATCTCCGATTTTGGCCCACGAGCGGATTATCGGGACCAATCATCGAGTCATACTCAATTTAACCCCATCCAATTATTCGCTATTCATGAGCTCGTCTCAACCGTGAGGCTGGGTGGCAATGTGGGGACCCAAGCAAACAGACTGCCCAGCTAAATTATTCATAAACCATCAATGAAACGGGATAGAGGCTGTCAACAGGAGGGGGATTGTTTAACCTGCTTAGAAACTCAAATTAATCGTGCGAGTGTCCAGCTTAAGTGGCAAATCAAAGGGATGGCTTTGATGGCAGATGGGGCCTGATGGCTCGTTTTGCTGTCTGAATGGACACAGATTGTCCTCATTCATAATTAAACAGCTATTAAAGAGCTTTTCATGAATACTGCAGAGGGTTCGACAAGACTTTTAGGGCGGCCTAGTCCAAATGGGAAGAAACTGCTCAGAATGATCTTAAAAACCCTTAAAACTAACCACAAACACCGACAGGATTTTGCCCACCCTCGTCTTCATTTTCTTCAATCCCAGTCTCCGCGGTTGTCCATACACCTCCTGTTATTGAGAGCAGGGACTCAATTAAGACCCTTAGACACTGCTGTTTTGATCGTACTGTCACTATGGCAACAGTCCCAGCATCGCTAGTTCAGTTTCTGTTCAATTTTCCTTGCAAACCGACAATACTGTCCTCAAGTGTCCACTGCAGTTCTGCACGAGTGCAGTGACTTCAAATATCAGAAATAAGTGACACATAAGGACATGAGAGCAGAGAGGTGGAAAGAGCGCCGGTCTCTGTCTATCTCCGACTGCCAGGCTGCATTGAAATCATGCAAACAGGGTCTGTGCTGGCCCCTGACAGTACAGTGGGGGACGCTCTAAAAAGATATAAAAGCAGACTAACCACAGATCAACAAAAAGAGCCGGGGAGGGGGGCACTGCAGAACACACTGGTTCTAGAGATCGCCAAATTAAATACACAATTAAATACTGTCCAGCACAGAAAAATTGGACGTGACAGAAACTAAGCAACAGCAGGTAACGGTGGCAAATTTTCACCACGCCAATGTTGAAATATTACCTTTTGATTCTGTCTTAATACGCCCACCATGCAGAGGGGAAAAGTGGAGCGAGAAAAATACACTAATCTATTTCCAATCAGCCTTCTAATTAGCACAGAAAATGATGTATTGTGACCTGTAATCAGCTTCAACAGTTTGATTTGAGTCATTATCATGGATATTGTAATTTCCTGCAAACCACATCCAGCAAGTGGAAGTGGGCAAATGGAGAAAGGGAGGGGCGGTGAGGACGGGTGAAGAGAGGGAGGGTCAGCTTGGAGAATAGACGTTAAGATATGACGGGGAGTCATTACAGTGACATTCTTCTATCTGCTGCGGCACTGCCCCTGTCGACCAGCTTTAATCTCAGCCCATGGTGACTGGCAGCCCGCATCAGCGGCCCTCTAATAACCTCACATGGACATTTACCGTTTCATTTTGCAGCTGGCACTTCCAACCTGTCGAGAAAAATCCTGTGCACCCAGCTTACATTTTTGAAGTTGAATGGACAAATAATGTCAGATTAGACAGGCAGATTTTTTCTTCCTTTTTCATTGAATGGTAACGTCACAAAACGCAAACATCAGTCAGTCAGCAGTTAAGCAAGGTAGTTTGAATGTGTACTTTGGAGAGTTGGAAGGTCTTGAGGAAAACTAGGTGTTTCAGAGAAATGGACAGACACACATAACTGACCCCAAGGTGTGAATTATCAGGTCAGTCATGCAAGAGTAATATAGGACAGCGAACTCATTGCAACTAGGAAAACTTGGTGGTTCAAATCAGGCTGACTGCAATCACTCTCAGACTGATTGGTAAAGGTTTACAAATAATGTCAATCTAACAGAGGAACTTAGTCAGCATGTCACAATCAATCTGAGCCACTCTAAACTAGCGGTCACGAGTCACGGATCGGTACCGGTCCGTTCCCGGGGGTTGGGGACCGCTGCTCTAAATCAATGAGTGCAACTAATTTATAAAACCGGACTCAACTCAAATATTCTTATATAAAAGCAGGGCTAGCCAGCACCCATGTAATTTGCAATTAATTGCCCTATTATCAGAAACAGACTGTAAGTGCCAACTTGACCCCATTCAGTTGCAAACTAATAGCACACTGACTCTGTCTTATTGCCATTTGATGCACCAATGTTGCTCTGTAGACAGCAACTGACTATAAGTTGTAAGAGACCTGGACCTTTTCCAAACAACCATTTCAAAGGCACTGGAAGTTCAACACCCACAGCAGCAATGATTATGTTTGTGCCACAGGCTCCAGCCACTGTTTTCCCCACTGTGACTGTAGCATGATGTATATTTACAGTTAATTTAAAGGATATGGGTGAGGGCCTGATCCCGATTCAGTATGGCCATCTGCAGTTCATCTTCCAAGGACATCAGCCTGTTGCTGATCTGCTCACAGCGCTCCGTCAGTTCGGTAGCCCCAGTGTCGCTGCACCCATCCTGGGTAAGAGAAGACAGGAAGGGTCAACAAGGGAAGTTGTTCAAATATAAGCCTCTGATACTGACAATGATCAAAACTTGTGCTAATCTGATGTAGTTCAACCAAAGAAAAGCAAAGAGTTGGGAAATTCACAGAAGATTTCTGTCTCCTAGAAAGTAACATGCACCAAGCTACAAAAACATTGGCTACAGCTCCCATAATGCAACTGGGCAGTTATTTTATTAGCCCCTCCTTGCCTGATAAAAATGACAAACTGTGTTTGCATGTGTATAATGCAGCATTAAAACTGCGACAAACAATAAACCTCAAAGTTATCATCGTGCTTCATGTTGCCCTGGGTTAGATGAACTGTTTGCAGGCTCACACACTGACATGTTTATATATTTATATTTACCAACTACAGTATGCTCTTCATTCAGATGACTCTGTTTATTAACAGATTTTTTTTTTATTATAGCAGCTAACGGTTTTTTGCCATTTTAACCACTTGCAAGTCTCAGTTAATGTGCAACAAAAAGCGTTTATTCGCAAACACACACCTAGAGGGGCAGTGTTTACAACATTAAGAGATATCTGCATATTACATGATGCTACAAGGCTGGGTGCATTTTGAAGAATGGCAGGGATGTCAGGTTGGTGGAAGTTCAGAGTGCAGTAGGGCAGAGCATTCGGGGAGCAACGCTGGCCATAATTAGAACAGCCCCCTTTGCAGACATTGTGTCCTAGTTTCTTCTCTCTTATCAAGCATAGAGAACACAAACGCACACCCAAGAGTACACGCACACTCACTTCAAGCAAACAAGACACACACACGCACACAGACTCAGTGTTCTCCTTAAACAACACAAAGAGTCTAATCTGACTCATAGCTGCAGGTTAAAAGAAAAAGAAAAAAAAATCAACTCCCTGCAGCTCAGAGGTGTCAGAACAATCACTGAAAAGTCGCGTCTCTGGTCTCTGCCCTGGAATAGCTCTCCCACTCTGGATGATGTAACACCAGAAAAGAAACGTACCACAACAGCAAGTGTTGGGGGCGGCAATATGTGCGAGACATCCTGACACAATTAAGGAATTAAGCGAGATTTTTTCAATGCAGAGAGGCCCACAGGAAACAGCATTCAGAGAAAAGATATTTTAGCGCTTGAGGAACTTTGAATGAACAAACGATCACTGTCACAAGTCTCTCCTCTGGCTTCACTTCACCTCGTCCTGGATCTTTTCCCCTCAACAGATTCAGTGAGCTGTTTGTTTATCCAGGTTAGGGGCTTCTCCAGCAGATAAGAGCCCTGGGTTTGTGTAGCTAATTGATTCTTTACTTTCCAGCCTTCAGTCAGCTTTTGTAAAGTCAATACAACCACAGGACAGAAAACAAAAGCTCCCCGTGCAGAATGACACTCTTTAAAAGACACGCCTGACAGGTTGTTTAAAAGCCATTAAAACAAAAACAAAATCTTTAAAAAAAAAAAAAAAAAAAATCACAAATTGTAATGTTGCTCCAGGTGGTGATCAAAACAGCTTTCTTCGCTATCTCTGCCTTTGACAAACAAGGCGACAGATTTCACCGACATGTCAATTTGCATAATAGAATCGCAGGCTTGCGTGTATTGGCGTGTTGATTTCTGTTGTACATTAGCGCTAATGTTATTAAACCAAAGTAAACAAAGCAGACTGGGGGAGCGTGGTGTTGAGGAAATTATTTAGGAATTCAATATTCAAACTCATGTATGCAGTTGTATGATTATTTAAGCAATAATGAGTGAGAGGCAGCAGGTAATTGTGCATGCTCCCATGGGTGCTGTTCTACCCACTTTGCACCAGGCGGACAATACAAAGCAATATTATTGCACTGGCATAGCACTCAAGGCAGTATTTGCTTAAAAAATACAGTGGCTAATTTATTTTAAATAAGAAACTTGGAGTGCCTGACTTTTTTATAAAAAAATAATAATAATAATAAAAACTAAATGAATATAAATGAAAGGCCAGTAATACGGCGGTTCATGCCAAACAAGTTCAGCAGGAGGTAAAAGTCTGTATTTTGCAGCATATTGTAAACAGCAGATCAAACGTAAATCAAGATTTTAGCCTCGTTAATGCGTTAAGTACTTTTTTTATGTACTGGAAAACACATCAAAAATACATCAAACAAATTTCGTATAAGAACCTTTAGTGTGTTGTCTTGTCTTTTGGTCCCTACATTCACACGGGTTCTATTTCTCTCCTACCTTTTGGTAGCCAGCTGTCTGCAGTGGAAGTTACAGAAATCTTATTTCAAATTTGGAGGTGAAACATTCAAGGACATCATCACAGTAAAATGCCAAAAAAATAGGTGTCTCTCAGTGAACAGCAGCCTGCAAGTTACGCACACCCACAACACCGCTGCTGAAGGAAAGCTATTAGCTCATACTTGAAGTACTTTCTAAGTTACTTTTCTTAACAATGATCAATTTCTGGTATATTCAAGTTGCAGCTCCCTTGTAATGTGAAAGGTTGCTTCTTAGGTTTCAACACTAATCCTTACCAACAAATACGTCTGCAAAGGAACATTGTATACAAATATGTGCAGTAATAAGAGAATTCAGTACTGCAGTTATTTTATTACATATTCTCAAGGCAGTATGTAGGTTGAGCCCCAAAAAGTCGGCATGCATCATATGTTCAAATGCTTCCCAGACGTGCCATAAATGCACACAGCTGTCCCAAAATCCAAACCATAAAGAAATTAGACAAAGCTGTAAATCATTTCCTTATTTTGCGGTTTACGTTGAAGTTCAAATCGAGGATCAGAATGGGGTAGAGAGGTGTTTCAAGTGACTTTGAATGTGGCAGTAGAAACTTGGGCTCTATTTTACTTTTTCCTAAAAGCAAAGTTTACAATGTGTGTAATGTTTAACACCAAGCTGACGGTAACTTTGGGGATGTCACTCAAATAAGCTTTGCCAAAACAAAGAAAAATCTTTTCTTTCCTTTCCCCCTCATCTTTCTAGAGCTGTAACTGTCATTTCTACCTGACCTTAATGATTTTGCTTTTCATTGGGGGACAATAGCTGCCATCAACAAAGAACTACAAAAATCAGCCCTTTTATAGTGCGCAGGATTGAGTATACTTAATTTTGTCGCTATTCAAATGTGAAGTGGAATTTGAATACAGCTTCAGTTTTTGAGCACTTCTGTCCTACACTGCAGGATTCTCCACAATTGTTCAGTTTGGGGGGAAAAAACCCATCAAGCTATGTTTTTTCTTTGTGATGTTTGTTTGGCAATGATCTTCTAAACCTGTAGCTTGACTGACATCCAACAGTACGTGTGCTTCTTCATTTGTGCCTACAAAGTGATACATTTCATTTCAGAGGTGGAAAAGCAATGCAGTGTTAAACATTATAAAACAACCATTAGTATACAGTAGCTCCTGTAATACGAGGTATGATGTAGGAACCTGTTGCAAAGCAGTCAAACAAATCTCAACAGAAACCATTCAACATTCCAGTTTAATGATGTATCTACTGTTGTTCAGAACTATGGGTGAGTGTAACAAGACATATGCAAGGACCTTGAAAGGATAAAAGAACAATTAGTAGAGGTTAGAAGAAAACAGTAGCAACACACAAGACCACACAAACTCACACACACCAATCAATCTCCATTGTGGCAGCAGGGCAGCAGCTAAGTGGAAATCATTTACTTAAAGTCATTATGGAAAGGAGAAAGAGGTCAGACGCTCTGCGCGAGGCAGAGAATCGAGCTCCTCCCGATGCTATCACAACACCATCACTGGAAAGATGCCATTAAACAGCTATCACATCATCTGACTCAGTGATGTATCACTGTAATGTCGCTGTACTTTATTGTAATTACCTATTTTAGGGTATCTGGCTTTTTAATAACTACATGTAATGTCATATAAAGTTAGAAAAGGGGAAGGCTTCTCACTTCTACAGCGCCACAGTTAAAATTTCATGTAAATTGATGCTGTCGGTCTCTTAAAATAGATTTTAGAAGGTAACTGAGCCAATGTTTGATAGAAGCTTTGGGTGAAATGTTATCACTGGTAATGCAGGTTGTAGCATTGAGAACCTGTTAAACATGACATGCGTCATTTACTGGTTTGAATTCCTGCGAGTGCCACCGTTTACTGAGTGTATTTGTACTGTGTGGCTGTGTGACCTAGTGTAAATTCAAACATAAAGTTACAGTGTGTAAAATCTCACCACTAGATGTCACTAAGATGCAGATTCCAATTAAGTTAATTCTGTTTTCTTACCGTTCCCAATTAAAGCGCGTAATCCTAACTATGGTGGCCACTGTAGGACAAACATGTTATATTCAGCCCAGAGATTAACCTTAAATCTAGACTGTTTTGTACACACTATTGTAAAATATTTAAACAATATCAACATTTGCCAGCAAATCGGGAAATAAAAAAATGTTTTAAAAAAAGATATTTTTCAGTTTAATACTTTCCTAAATTTTATATTTTTACCAAGAGTCACCTGAAAATCTATGGACACTGTTGATCTCACAGCAAAATGACTCCAAACCACAGTTTTTGCTCAGTAGGCTTTCTGCCTACTGTTTACCTCAGCTGCCAGTGCTGGATGAGAAACGTCCACATCTACTTAAGGAGGCTGTAAAGCTTTGTGAAAAGGAATCGATGAGTCAGCAAAGCTCACTTCTGTCCAACAACAGCAACAATGAGGTGGGTTTTTGAAGACATGATGTACTTTTGTGTCAGCAAGCGCTGTTGTTTTTGCTGCTGTTAGCCTCTGTTAGCTGCTGTTAGCCTCTGTTAGCTGCTGTTAGCCTCTGTTAGCTGCTGTTAGCCGAGGTTAGGGATATTTTTTTTAAGTGGATCTAACATTCCTGGACTTGGAATGGCAAATAACCTCTTATACAATGTGACAATGTAACCAAACTGTTTACCAAAAGAGAAGTGCAATTTCAACCCTAACATTAGCTGGCTGACAATAAGGATGATCCTTCATATCTGGAGTTTGAAGGCTTGGACGCAATTTAAAATCTGCCTCCTCTGCACACAAATGCCAGTCCGTGGCCACATGCATAAATTGTATTCAAGATAGCAGGACAACATGGTAGATACCACAAAACCTGCCCTTCTGCATTTTTAACAGATGAATTCAATGTTCATGAGGATGCATTAGTTTGCCAGCAGCAGAATTAAGCAATCTGTACATATGAATAGAATATCCTTTTTTTCCTATTAAATAAACTCAAAATTGACTGTTACTTATCCCTCATAAGTAACAGTCATAAAAAACATGTTGCAAAAAAGACATGGTGCCTCTCACGTAGATGGTGAAACAGGTGACAGGGGTCATGTTGTTGATAATGTTAGCATTGTACTGATAACATTGAACCACACAGTGATAGTGTTAGCATCACACACCTCTGGGTGACTATCCTCCATGCAGAACAAAAACTCCTCCAGCTTCTGCAACAAAAATGGGAACATTTGTTGAGGCCACACAGTCGTAAGCCTGCTCATGAATTATTAAAAATACAATTATGTCGGCTGTGTACTGTATGTGTGCAGCATCATCATAATGCAAGGAGGCTGTAATTACTCATCAGCAAAACTGACAACAAGAAAATAGATTAACAGACTCGTTTGTATTGCAGGGTTTTTTTGTTAGCATTCAAAGTATGTAATTGTACATTCTTCACTAAGGAAAAGTAATTACTCTACCTACTGGAGGCTAACATATTGTTTGTGGTTTTAAAAAGCAGAGTGAAAACAAATAATCAGCAAAGTTTTAATTATTATTCTAAATTCAAAAGAGCCTTTTTATTTTACTCTGAGGCAAACACAACTGACCCATCCATAACTCTTCACACAGTATCTGATTGGTTTCAAATGCTGCAGTTTTAAACAACTCATATAAACTGGATTGCCACTGCTATCTCTAATCACATCTCGCAGCAGCGTACAATCTGCCTCACACAGTTTTCGAGGTGCAGATTGTAAAGATTAACCAGCTTCAAGCTCCTCTTTTATTGTTTGTTGCCTTGAGATGAAAACACTCATATCTACCAAGCTAAAATAATGTTTGCTGCCAAATGAAAACAGTACCCACTGAATGTGCCTCTTCTATTTCTATAAGCGACAACAGGAAGGTTATTCTTAAAAGTCTTCATATAAATATTAAACGTTTTTACATGCCAAAAAGTTTTTTATTATAATTGTTGCAAAGAAATTCAAAGATAAAGTCATACCCAACATAAATATTACAGGCTGTATTTTGCTACACTGGGTTTCAGGCGGGGGGATTACACAGAAAACACAGCTCACAGGATGAGGGCAAAAGAGAGAAATGGCTGGCTGTCTCACCTTTTAGTTCTTGGTAAAATGTTAGGAGGTTCCAGGCTTTAGGAGGAGAAAGAAAAGCAAAGAAAGACAAAAGGGGGAGCAGAAAATAGATTCATGCAGTTTATCATATGCGGTCAAGGAAAGGCAGGAAAGAAGAAGACATTAATGAAAACTGTGTGTTTATGTATGCTAAGGACAGGTCTGTGAGAGAAGCTGAACAGGTTGCAACAGCGGCAGAATTAAACATGGCAATGAAACCCTACAGCTTCCTGTATATTAGATCCAAAAAGAACGAACGTTTGTGCTTGGAAGCACAATCCAGTAAATCCATACTAATGGGGAAAATGTAGAGCAAACATTATGATAAACAACAATCTGTGAGCCTAAGTAGGAAAGTATAATGAAACATATCTGGAAAATGTTCTATATATATACAGTGAGGCAAAAAAGTATTTAGTCAGCCACCGATTGTGCAAGTTCCCCCACCTAAAATGATGACAGGGGTCAGTAATTTGCACCAGAGGTACACTTCAACTGTGAGAGACAGAATGTGAAAAAAAAATCCATGAATCCACATGGTAGGATTTGTAAAGAATTTATT